GTAATGAGCCCAAACATACAACAAAATCTACGAAAAAATGGTTTCTTGAAAACAATGACAATACACTCAAACGGCTATCACAGACTCCATACTTTAATCCAACAGAGAATTTGTGACGTTTATTAAAAATTCAACTTAATAATAGAGCTCCGAAAAACATCCTGGACCTAAAGAGAATATGCAAAGAAGAATGATGTAAAATATCAACAGAGATCATAGATGCAAAGCTACAGAAAGAGACAGATTGCTATTGAATTGAGTAAGGGATTTGTTACAAAAAATTAATTATGTATTATAATGGTGTACGAATACTTTTTTCACCTACATTTTTTTTTCATATAGTTTCATTAATAAAACAATTTTTTCTGATTTTTTTTTGTATATTGCAGCATTATGCCATGGTATATAAATATTGTATGGATTATAAAATTCTTTTATAAAAATTATGTTAAGTAAAAAAAAAATTCATGGTGTACGAATATTTCTTTCCCACCCATTCTATACGTAAAGACCTTATGTCTAAATATAGTTTTCATTGTCAAATTTTCCGATAAAGAGTTGAATATTTTTTACATACATACATTTTTTTTTAACTATCGCTGGACATAATTATAACAACATATACTATTTATTGACTGATTTGTTTTTACGGTTTATCAACCTGTTGCAGGTTATTTAAAGCCAGAAAATAGTTTTTAGTTTGAAAGACATTTTTTTATATAGTAATCATTTATTGTTACAAGTCTTACTAATTAACTCATACCTGGGAGGAGTAGAGATGGACTGATAGGGTATTTGCTCGTAAGGAAATATAACGAACCTATCCGTAATTGGAAATCGACTCACCGATTAAAAATTCCGAGCCTTTGTCCATTACGTCACCTGCATATCCAAGCTTCAGCAACGGATATTCCTAAGCGATCAACCAGGCGTGACGTTGTTCAAATTCGGTGATCGTACGTTAACAGGTGATTCAACGTGATATAGGCGCAAACCCAGCACCATATACGCCGGTGACATGGTTCTGATGGAAGATTCCGAAGTAAAACAACAGAAACTTTATGCGAAGATCGTAAAAGTGTTATGGGATCTTACCCATAATAATAATAATAAGTGACTATTCCATACTTAATAAATACTGCGCCTCAGGATTAGGCAGGGAGCCTGTCGTTCACTTCTGAACCGACTGTTTATACGGTTTCAATGGGCATATTTTTGGGCCGAGCGCACGGGCTCGGAGAACCCACAATAAATAACCGACCTTGTGTCACATGCTGCCCCAGTGGTGGGAGTGACTGAATATCGTCATTCGTTCACTTCTGAACCGACTGTTCGGTTGAACTCTCTGCCTTCGGGCGGGGAGGAAACCGAACGAGGCTACGCCGAACGGCGGAGTCTCTTTCGGGGAGGTAAACCGACCCTGAACCGGTTTATACGGGTTCAATGGCATATTTCTGGCCGAGCCCACGGGCTCGGGAACCCCACATTAAATTCGGCTTGTGCCACATGTGACTGCGTGGGGCAATGACTAAATGGCGTCAGTCGTTCACCTCCTGACCGACTGTTCGGTTGAACTCTGCCTTCGGGCGGGGAGGAACCCGAAGGAGGCTACGCCGAAGGACGGAGTCTCTTTCGGGGAGGTAAACCGACCCTGAACCCGTTTATACGGGTTCAATGGACATATTTTTGGCCCGAGCCCACGCGCTCGGAGATCCCACGTTAAACCGGCTTTGTGCCACATGATGCCCACGTGGTGGTGGTGGGGGGTGACTAAATATAGTCAGTAGTTCAAGTCGATCTCGGTCGACCGGCTGATCGGGGAGGTAAACCGGCCCTGAGCCCGTTTATACGGGTTCAATGGGCATATTTTGGGGCCGAGCCCACAGACTCAGAGATCCCAACTTAAATAACCGGCCTTGTGCCACATGATGCCCCAGTCGGGGAGGGTGACTGAATATCGTCAGTCGTTCAAGTCGAGTCAAGAGTCAAATCAGAGGCAGTCCGAAACAGAGTCGCGTTCAGACAAATACTGCAAGACATTGGAATAGTGATACTGGTCGAGACTACATTGTTCTCCCTACTAAACCTGATTGTTCATACTAACACTTCTACTTCTCTGTATATATTCCTGTTTGTAATATATCTTTGTTATTTCATACCTGTGTTCGAGTTCTTCTTTATTGGTTCTACCTTGGACTATCACCGTGGTATAAGGAGCCGGACCAAAAAAGTAAGCGGGAAGAACGAACTACTATGGGATGTGTGGCGGTTCGTGAGGGAGGCAACCAAAGATTGTAGCTTTGAATTAGGGAACTATTTAAATTTACTATTTAAAGTCTTCGACTTTCTGTGCCACATTTTCCGTCATCTGTTGCTACCTTCTCCAGATTGTTAAAGTCCCGTATCTACTTGATTCTTTTCGGCCGTTTTGCGCTCCGGCCTTCTTCGTCGAACTGAACCCTTTATTTCACTCGCTGGGGTAGACTGTTCTAGTTCCACGTGCCATGTCTACTCGATGTCAGTCATCTGTTATCTCCTGTTAATTCCCATCTCTAAGTTCTCTACCGCCTGAACCAGGAACCTTAAACTCACGCTTTTTGGTCCCTGTCACTGGATCTAACAAACGTCTTTATCCACTGTGCCATGTTTTCTTGAGAACATCTGTGTATGATTTTCTGGGTACTATAAACCTAATCTCTTCAGCAACCGTTTTTGTTATTATTGCAGGTTATTTACCAGAGCTCATATTGCAATTTTCGTTGTTATTATTGCTTTTTCTCTGGCACTCCTTATTACTGGTTCCCATATTGTATTCATTTTTATGCTTGGTCGGCTCAGAAGATTTTTGTGGCCTAGCATATGTGTTAATTCCTAAAGTTTACGAATTTTCCAATGATGTTCTATGTCTATGATTTCAACCTCATCCCAGAAAGGGCGGTGATTTCCCTTTTCTCTCCATTAATATGGCAACAAATATGAAGATGATAGTCCGAGCAATGTAAATAGTGTACACAATACCTCATCTCACAATTATAGACATGTATTCGATTTAGAGGTATCAGAATCAAGTCGATACGGGACTTTACCGCAGAACTTTCAAATATTGATGTGCGTTTGCTTCCCAAACGTCTTGTTTCTGGCTGAGACATTGACCATATTTCCAAGAAATAAAAGAAGTTTCAAATACACTGAAAGAACACAGCATATTGAAGAATTTTTTCTCGCCATTTTGGCGTAGCTTTTTACAAAAAAGAATGAAGACCATTTATTTGTCTGCTATAAAAATATGTCCAAGATGATGCCCAGTCCTGAAATATTTGACTACGGCACGCTTGCTAGTACTCCTCAGAAGTTATATGAAAAAATCAGATTTTTCACAAAAGATTCAAGTCTCACACTATATATGAAATAGACTTATACACGAGTATATACGGCAATTTATTAACTAAAATAGTGATGTAAACTCTTGCGAAACGAAGATAAATGTAAATAGGAAAAAATCTATTAATTCCTCATTTATATAAGTTATTTTTTTGTTTTATGTGGATGAGGTTTGGTACTTCATGTGGCGACAAAAGGGAAGAAACTTCGGCGACGTAGGAGGCAGGTCCAGGGTAAAAGAGCTACCGAAGTCAGGCTTGAACAAAAACAAACGTTCAGTATTTAAATCTTCTTATGAGATATTTTACGGTAAGTTGTTTTTCTCACTATTTTTTAGTAGCTTCGTACAAAAAAAAAATGAATGAAGATCATTCATTTGCCAGGAAATACGTCCATGATGATGTCCAGTACTTCAATATTTGACTAGACACGAGCTATATGGAAAGAATCAGATTGTCGACAAAAAAAATCAGGGTTTGCATGAAGTAGACTTATGCTCGAGTTCATACGGTAAAATATCACATATTTACTTATCAAGTAAATGCCCGAGCTCTTTCAAATATTGATATGCGTTTGCTTCCCAAATCGTCTTGTTTCTGGCTGTGACACCGACCATATTCCCAAGAAATAAAAGACGCTTCAAATATACTGAAGGGATACGGCATATTGAAGAAGAATTTTTTTTTCTCACTATTTTGGCGTAGCTTTTTACAAAAAAAAAATGAAGATCATTTATTTGTCTGCTATAAAAATGTCTCGGATGATGCCCAGTATTTCAATATTTGACTACAATAGGCCTTCTAGTATCGCTCAGAAGTTCAGGTCGCTTTATGCACGAGCTATATGGAAACAATCAAGTTGCTGACAAAAAACAAATCAGGATTTGCATGAAGTAGACTTATGCATGAGTTCATACGGTAAAATATTTTCAAGTAAATACTCTAGCACTTTCAAATATTGATATGGGTTTATTTTTCAACGCATTCAAGAATGTGGGACTTACCGTATATAACCGAGTCGATGGCGAGATTTTATGATCAGTTTTTTTACGCCAAAAATTAGGGGTCACACTATACACAGGTAATTTTATTGAAGAGATTAAAAATTATGTATTTTAGGTGACCGGTTTCACTATAAACAGAGAATTATTTTCTGGAGGGGTTAAAATTGATGCATTTTCGCGGACCGTAACCTATCTAGACAGGCATGAATTCAAACAAAAGTACGGTATCTAAATCTTCTTACGAGATATTTTACAGTAAGTGGTTTTTCTCAATATTTGGGAATAGCATTGTACAAAAGGAATGATGATCATTTATTTGCCAGGGAGTACGTCCATGATGATGTCCAGTAAAGCAATATTTCACTACAACAGGCCCACTAGTATTGCTCAGAAGCTGGGGTCACATTATACACGAATTGTATAGAAGCAATCAGGTTTTTCAAAAATAAATTCAGCGGTCGCATTATACATGAAGTAGATTTATACATGAGTATATACGGTAAATGATATTTTTATTCCACCATCCACGGTGATTTTTCACGCAACTTTTTAATTCCATCTTCTTTCTTTCTTTTTTCTTTCTTTCTTTGCTTTTCTTATTTATTCATTCCAATAGCCCTTATTTATTTATTCATCCCCCCTTCTTTTTTCTTTCTTTCTTTTTTCTCTTTTCCTTTTTCTTGCTTTCTTTCTTTCTGTCTTTCTTTCTTTGCTTTTCTTCTTATTTACTCCAATAGCCATTTATTTATTCTTTCTTTCTTTCTTTTCTTTCTTTCTTTCTTTGAAGATTTCTCTTCTGCGTTTCTTTCTTACTTTCTTTTTGCTTGTTTGTTTGTTTCTTTTGATATTTCTATTTTTCTTTTAAATTTGTTTCTTGTTTCTTTGTTTTTTCTTTTATTTTTTCTTTTTTCTTTTTTGAAGATTTCTCTTCTCGTTTCTTTCTTTTCTTTCTTTTTGCTTATTTGTTTCTTTCTTTTGATATTTCTATTTTCCTTTGTAAATTTCGTTTCTGCGTTTTTTTTTCTTTCTTTCTTTCTTTGAAGATTTCTCTTCTGCGTTTCTTTCTTCCTTTCTTTCTTTCTTTCTTTCTTTCTTTCTTTCTAGAAATTTTCCCTCATAAATCTACTCAATAATCTATTCATTCGTGATCTTCTTTCTTTCTTTCTTTCTTTCTTTCTTTCTTTCTTTCTTTCTTTCTTTCTTTCTTTGCTTTTCTTATTTACTAACTCCAATAGACCTTTATTTATTTATCCATCTCCCTCTTTCTTTCTTTCGTCCTTCTTTCTTTCTTATTTCTTTACTCCAATAGCCCTTCACTTACTTATTGCTCAGAAGCTGGAGTCACATTATAAACAAGCTATATAAAAAAATCTATTCTCCTTCTTCACTTTTCTTCTGTTGCTTCTCACACTTTATTCTTGCTTCATCTTATGTCTAGCTTCCATTTTGGACCCTCCACGGGCACTTTGACATAGTTTGATGCTTAACAAACTTTGATAATATGAATGAATAGTGAGTTCGATCCTCACTGGATACCACTTACTTTCGACCTTGTGCCACATCTAAGCTCGCTTAGAAAAGCGTGCCTTTCCCGAGGGCATTAGTTCAAAGTGAACTGACTAGGCGTGAATTTTTTTTTCAGTTTTCCCTATTCCTTCATCCGATCCGGTAACCGTTATGTTACCTGCTTATATTGGCATTGTTAACTGTTGTGGGGCTTTCCCCTTTTTACATAAGATGGACTCGTCCAAAGTATACTTATACTGGCAGACAGAATACCTCAAGTTGTTGTGGATTCCGTGAATGGAATCCTGCACAAATAAATAAACAACGCCAGTAATTGAGATAGAAAAATAAGTGTATTAAACGTAAGAATACAGACTTGAAGTGAAGATTAGTAGTCCAGGAATGCAGGTTAGTAGAAAATATATGTACAAGTCTCTGTAAGTAAAGCCGTAATCATATATATATATATATATATATATATATATATTTGGTTGGATAGATGTGAGTTCGTGACCCTGTGTTTCACGCTTTAGCGATCGTCAGACAAGCGTACAAAAGTACCGCATATAATATATAAATAATTATACATATATATATTTATTTATATATATATACATATTATATATATATATATATATATATATATATATATATATATATATATATGGACTCTTGTATAACTCTCTGAGAACACCCTGTGTCTGTCTCCGTATCTCTCAACCTGTCTCAACGTATCTCCACGTATCTCAACGTATCTCCACAGCAGGTATTCTCTCTGTCAGTATACTTTGGACGAGTCCATCTTATGTAAAAAAGGGAGAGCCCCACAACATTAACCAAATATTGTAAAAAAAACAAAAAAACTCCCGTTCTAATAATAATGTTGCACCAAATTAAAACAATAATAATAATAATAATAATATTAAAGGGAATAAAATTCGCTCTACGAGATTAGGATTTTCATGTCGAACAATTTATGTGTGACACATTGGCTACCGATGTGTCCGTCGAGACAAGCCTGTTTTCTTCGTCGTCGCCAGGTTATGAATCTTAAAAGGCCTGGAAGAATCGTTACAGAATGTTGGTCGGCAGGGGTAGGAGCCTTAGAGCTTTGGGGGAAGGTTGGGTTGGGAGAAGGTTTTGCTCTGGCCGATTTGCCGCCGCTAGTAACGCCTGAGACGATGGGCCCGGTTAATTTTAGTGGGTTGTCCCTCGCGGATAACGCTCAAGATTTTGCCCGCCCGCCAAATTATTTCGGTGATGGGGAGAGGATTCTTTCAACGTGTTTAATAAGTGGAACGCCGTAAGGTGTACGTTCCTTCCTATAATCCCCCATCTTCCGCGCGACAAAAATCACCACGCCAACAGCTTCATTGATTTCATTAAAACACACACAGGCCTATAAGTAGTGGCAAACAGTTTAAAGTATTTTTAAAAAAATAATCGGATGTTAATAAACGTAAATGTAGTGGATAGTAATTTTATTTTATTAAGCATAGCTTAGTCTGGTAAAAGGCTAACTAGAAGAGGAGATATCGTAGCACTACTCACATAAATCAGGTGGGTCTGTCTGCCATTAAAAAAAAATCATTTAAATCATGGCTTCTGAC